AGACACTCTCCATAGATACATGGTGCTTCTTATGGTCATTTTGTACCTTGTGATACCTCAAGACACAGGCTGGGCTAGAAGCACTCAAATCTAGATGATCATGCATTTTCAAGATGTTGTTTAAAGATGGAGCACTCCTCGAAGGAGAAATAACACCTGGGTATAAATGTGAAGGCTGATTTTTCCTTCTTTTGTCTCCACTGTGCTCTTGGAAGTTCATTTTGATTTTATAAGGAGGTAATGGTGGCTTATCTCTTTCTGGCAGATGAGGAGAAGACACTGACTTGATCTCCAGCGGTTGCATCCTATCAGGGCTACACCCTTGTGATCGAGAGCCATGGAAGTACTTCATGTTGTTGCTGTTGTTCCTTTGGTCTGGCAAACCACGCCTAGTTTCAGAGTTTATCAAAATGGGTCTTTTCTTTGGATCTTCTTGAGGACTTGGCATGGAAATTGTAATGACAGGCAACAGTGCTACTTCTCTAGTAGAAGCCAACATGCCCTTTTCTTTATGATCTAATGCTTGCTGATCTTGGAAGTTTTGCTTACCATGCAGTTTGGAAATGTTAGGATAAGCCTTAGAGTTGGATTGAAGAATGGTGTCTTTGTGAATAAGAAAGGGCATGTGTTTGGGAATGGAACTATGGTTCTGTTTAGCTGGGATAACAGGCAGGTTATTAAAAGTTCGTTGCTGGACCTGGGAAAGTAGGATTACAGAAATTAAACTATTGAAACACACATTGTAATTAATCTCATAGACAATATGCAATTGTTCAATGTCCTGTACTATGCTCATCATAAGAACTCTTCTTCAATAAGAGAAGAACCAAGCTTGCTTTTAAAACCTTCAGAAAATCAAGGAAACTAGATGTTCTAGCGCATAAACCAGCAAACAACAATGTACACAACTGCTTAACACAGAAGATAGACTTGTAGAAATAGGCCATTAGATTGGTTCGCTATAGCTTTCTATAGTGGATCAATCTAATGGCCTATTTCTACAAGTTGGTGAACTTCTTGGGAGTCAAAGAGAGAACATTAAATAAATGGCTTTCCTTATAGTGACTGATATTCATTGGGGCCCTCTGAATGTGGAATTCCATAGACTTTTAATGAAGATGAATTGGCCTGCTTATAAAATCATCTGAATCAACATTCTCTTACCAGATAGAAGCACACATCTGAGTTTGTTTGCATTTGGAACGTAAGCAGATTATTATTTAGATGAGTTAGGTCTACAAACTACTATAAATTTAGGAAAAAGCAACATGGAACAAGACAGTGACAAACTAATTCCACTTTGTGGCCCAGGAAGCTATCCAAGACATAACAGAAACTGTGCTTAAATAAGAGGTATTATTTTAACTCAGCAACCCATATCCTATGGCAAGTAATTTTGCACAGTCAAAGGTTGGAAACCTAAGCAATTCTAATGCAATATAGAGAGTTGGGAAGCCATTCATATTACTTCAAATTTGGACTGGAAGATATGTAGATATTTGAAGTTATCTTTGCACCTTTTAAAAATGAGCAGCGTCTTTGAAATGTTTAACAGATAATATAGTATAATCCCAGGATGCCTGTGTTTTTTTAAATGTGATTGTATATGTGCGTCCTATTTAGAAATAATTTCCAGATTGTTGTAAAAGTTACCTCTATTATAATATTTCATTATTTACCCTGAATGTTACAATTATGCTTTTTGACTGCCAATAAATTTTAGCAGTTTACATTTAAGTACATATAAAATAATCTTTTCAAAAGCCTGATTAAAAGCATTGCCATCGCATGTTACACTATACATTTCAAAAGATTCCCATCTCTCAAAGGTGTCCTGATAGTGATATTTATCTTGAAACTGTGGATCGTATTTGATTGCTCTGTGAATTTTACAAGCATTTTTGGCAGATATTATCTAGCCTATTTTAAAATCAAGACCAGAAATATTTATGTACAAGTTAAAAATTCTTCTCTCAGATAAAAATCCTAATATTACAATAGTGACAGCCAAATATTTAACCATGGCTACAGAAACAAAACCTAGATTAATAAATCAACATGTCTGAGTTGTAAAAGCAACAACTGTATCTAGCAATTTATTTTATGTGATAAAGTGTTTTACTTATGCCCAATGTGTTAAATTATATCTGTAGTTTGTTACTTTTATCTGTTTTCTCATTCATATAAAATTACCTAAGGATGCAAGATTGACTAAAATATTGCACAAGCTTTTTAAAAATTATTTTAGCAGTGTGTTTCCATTCTTGCCTGTTTAAAATAGTTCCCAAATTCTCATGCAAAACGTGAACTTGATTACTATAGCAATTGCTTCATCTGACTGAGTCCATTGCACTGAACAAATGAACCTCCATTACACAGAACAAACGGAATGTTTCCAATAAGGATGAGAAAAGCTTTTGATTTTACAGTAATAATTTCTCTTTTCATTCTTTTACCATTAAACAGAGTGGTCAATGCCTGGAACACCCTACCAGACTCTGTTGTTACACCTCAACCCCTCACAGCTTCAACCTCAAACTGTCTACTATGGACCTCTCCCCATTCTTAAGAGGTCCTTAAAGGGGGCATGCATAAGCGCACCAGCATGCCTACCGTCCCTGTCTTACTGTCCCCATTTATCTGTATTTACTTCCTTTGTTCTTGTTTATGTTCATACCTATACTTGTTATCTTGTACATGCTCGGCAAACAAATAAAGTGAAAATAAATATAAATAAATAAATAAATAAATAGCCTGGAGAGTGATCAAGATGACCTTGAAAATCACTCTGATTTTGCTTCAGTCCATGGAAAAATGCAATACAGGAATGGATTTTTGGAAATTCTCTAGAGCTTTTTGCAATGGCTTCCCAAAACCACAAATGTGAGTTGGGGAGATGAGGCCAATTAAAGCTGTGATCTCAGGGAATTCTGTACACTGCATTTATCTTCCGGCTTTCCCTTTGAGAGCTTAAAATGATACACACACGAAGACTTTCCTTCATTATATGCCTGTTTAGTAAGCTGTATTGAGAGAAAATGGCTCACTTAATGACGCCCAGCAATATCCATATTCAAGTGGGGACCTGCAGCTGGGTCTTCTCATACAGGTCTTACATCTTAACCTCTACGCTATAATGAAATGCCCTGTAATAGTCACTCAGCAAAACAGGATAGTTATTAAGAGACCGGCAGTTTTTCAAAGTGGTAGCAATTACTGTGCCCTGGTGGCATCTACTATCTGCTTTTCAATGGGCAATCCTTTCTTTCAGGGCAAGTGTATTATGTGAACATAACCACTTCTTATTCAGTAGCTGGCACCGCTATCATAATTGCAGCAGAGATGGAAGCAGGTTCTTTCTGTGACCTCACAGAGGGAATCGGGCTTTTAAAAAAATGAGCTGATTTTTTTTTTTTTTTACAAATCTATTGTTTTGGACAACTCCCACTCCCTTGCCTTTTGCTAACAAGGTGACAGAGATGCAGTCACCAAGAAAATTACATGCATCAAAGAGGCAATTCAGTCCAGTAGTGCAATGGGCAGTTAAATGTCCAAATGGGGAAGGATTTTTTTAAAAAAATGTTGGTACAACAGCCAACACTTGCTGTATGAAACAATACATTAGACAGCTATTTAATATGGAACAGGCAATAGCTTTCAAATTGTATGGGAGATCCTTAACCTTTCTCTGAAAATGTGCTTGCTTATAATTTGCCTTTTGTAAAAATGTGTACTTTCATGGAAGGATTTAAGATATTCTGAATATACCCTCACACCACTCTGCAACATGGCAATTACGAGATTGACTAACACTTAACCGAGGCTTTCACGTCAATATCCTCATATATTACTTCTGCAAGGTGCTGAGGTTTGCACCATGTATGCAAAACACTTAGGCACATGATTTGCTGTGGAAAGTGTTTCCTGAATGTATAAGATTGAAAACCATTCAAGGGAGGTGGGTGGGAAAGAAGCACATTTCCATGTGGTTTGCAAAACAACATATCTGCAATATAACAGGAGGAGACAGCTAGGATAAAAACAGTGCAAAATTCTAAACAGTGGTAATATGCAAACAACTATATTCTAATTTCATTTACATGCATTTGCACACCCATCCTCAATTACCCATTATATGAGTTGGGAAAAGTACTTATCTGCTCCCATGTTAGACACTGTGGATAGTGAATTCAGTTGTGCATTACTTCTGATACCCAACTTTAAAAAGTGTGTAAACTGCAAGAGAGCTTTTTAAAATATAATCTCTCTACATATAAACAACATGTGTATACGTGATTAACCAAGATATTAAAAATGCTTTGCAGTAGGAATTTTTCCTGACCTATCAAAAGACTGCACTAGCAATAATCATCAATGTTAGGCACAATGATTTATCAGCTGGTACCATGCATGGAGTCTTTCTAAATGGATGCTTTGGCCATACTAGCATTTTCCACCCTATAATACTTTATAAAACATATGTATCACTGACTTTTTTTTTTAAAAAAAGAGAATATTTCTATTAAGTATCACATACCAGTGAATTTTGTTTTTCAAGTTGCTTGAAAAATACCTAAGACAGAAGAGATCTCTTCTTTTGAAAAATAAAACCACTGAAAACACTCAAGTTTTTAAAATCCTGACCATCAATGCTGCAATTCTATTCTGTTGCTGAAATATTTTCTTCCCAGGATTAGACACACAGGTAACTTTACCCAGTTATAACATACCACCCAGATCTGAATGTGTGATACAACCATGGAATTTCAGAATTGGAAGAGAACCTCCATCAATATAGCTATTGGGTTGGATACAAGGACCTGATGGCATCAGAGGGCAGATGAAGTTATTGGGCCAAATGACCCAATATAATGAAGGATTGGTGCCAGATAATCCCAAAGAATTCTGGGCGTGGGCAGGAGGCTGAAAATGTGTACACATTCAATTTTTACAATACTGGTTTGTATACCTACTCCAAGATAAAATGTGATCGGGCCTACCTCCTTTGCCCAAGCTGGCTTCTCAGTGGCGTTCATCCCTTCCTTGTAATGATAGAGCGGCTTCTTCTCGGTTGGTCTCTGTTCTTGTCGTTGTTGCTGCTGTAAAGAAACTAGATAGTCCCGTTCTTGTTGCAGCTGTCGCTGTAGCCTCTCGGCTTGCCGTTGTTCCTCCAACTGCTTGCGCTTGTATTCCTACCAAGACATGTGCACCACACAAAAATTAACAAAGCCAGAGAAGAGTATGAAATTGTGGGATACCCTCCCATTGTCAGAATGCTACTGTGAGGGAACAGCCATGTCTAAAAGGTAGATGTTTACTGGATGAAAACATTACATTAACATGCAATGGTTGTGATTTGTATGGATTTCAATATTTGTTGTGTTTGACTAAGGTGAACTTTTGGCCAGGCCCTTACCAACAAGCAATTTAAGCTCTCAACTCCATTTATTCTGCATATACACACTATTTACTCATTGCCCATTCCTAATTAATTTCATTACCAAATCTTAACTTCCATCACAAACAGGTATTTATTTGATCTATTCGAATGGGATTCAATCTCTATTCAATCTCATTTTAGGCTTTACATATGAAGTGACTTTAAAAGGGTATGTGTATGGAAACTTCCACAAAGCTTAATGTGTAGTATTTCTGTGTGTCAGTTTAAACGAGATGAGGTAAGTTAAGATTGTGTCTAAAGGGTCTTTAAAATTATGCTTTTTTAAAATATGGATATACTATGTACTAGTAGCTATCAGGGAAGTTTAATCATAATACCTTCAAACTGATGCTATCAATGACACAAAAAACATTAAATCTGAAAGGCATTTATTGTTAAATCTAATAAATTGCATTTTATTTTAATTGACTGCTAGTGCAGAATTATCAAAATGGCTGGCAGTAAAAGAAATCTTTATACATAAGTTTGTTTGCTTGTTCTATTGTTAACAAGGGAATAAAATATAAATATCACTAATTAACAGAATGGTTTTAAAAATCCCTAAATTACATATCTCAAATACTGACAAGATGCAACTTTGATGTAGGAGAAGGGACAATGATAGTAAAAGGGAAAGTTTGTGAATTTGTCTATTTAATTTTAAAATGCAGTGGTACATAATCCTCCAACACACACTCTTCTATCATGAATGTGAAGAAAGCAGCCTATAAAGAAACATGCTACCAGATTGCACAAAGTAAAGAAGTTAGAAAGTGTGTGGATACTGTATTATGGGACATATATCTAGGAGGTTTCACTTAATTCTCATAATGAGCGGAGAACAGAGATGAACAGATGCGCAAGCCAGGAACTCTCCCTCCAACTGCATCCCCAATTATTAATAAAAAGGCAATAGAAACATTCAGAGTTCTTGGTAGGATTGCATTCAAAAAGAAACTAATACAGCATGCTATCTTCTACTCTGGAGATAAAGTTGAACCTTAGTAGCCCAACTTCTCCCAGTATGGCTTTTTATATTAGCTTAGCCTTTTAGGATTGCCACTTCAGATGTCCCCCCTCAAAAAAATTCCTTTGTTTACTAGCACCTTTTTCCATTCTTGTTGTTTTCTGATCTTTATTTCCTTCTCCTTTCTTTGGTAGTCCCCATTAACTATTACATTTAGGCCACAAATAGAAAGCAATACTGCTTATTGGCATTGGAAGAGTCTCCCAAAATCAAGATTTCAGATTGTGCTTATTTCTTAGAAATTCTTCTCTTTCTAGCCAATTAATTGGACTTATAAACTTTTGTTAAAGAGTTAAGAGTTAAATTCAATTGGCATTTATGCTCCAGGATGACTATAGCTATCTTCAGCTATAGGCTCTGCCCGAAACTCTCTTTCTCCATAAATTTGAAGCCCATCTTGGATGAAGAAGGTGTAACAGTGAAATAAAAAAACAATCAGATAAATAAACTAGACTGAAATTCTGGCCTAGGATGTCCATGTTTTGTTCTTGGTAGAAATTTAGTCCATGAGGAGCTAAATTTGGAATAAGAAAATATTATCGAAGATGTAATCAAGCTTTCAATAAAACGTTACTTAAGGCTTAAAACAGAGGTTGGCAATGCAACACACAAAGCACTAGTATGCTCATTGGATCCCCCCAAGAAATAAACTGTCCAAATTTCACATTAAAACCACAACTTTACTGCACTAATCTTGCAAGATTTGGGAACTTTTCCAATAGCCTGTGCACAAGTTTAGCAGTTCTTTTTATGAATGCTTGGACCGTGATCCCAGGTAACTCAGTAGCCAAAAGCTGGCCAGCTGCTGTCTTATAAAAGCCAGCTGCTTTCTCTTTCCTATTCAAAATAAATTGTAAACAATTTGCAACTGAATCTGTGTCCTGATTAAAAGCAAAGCAAACGGCATGATAAGTTAGTCCCAACCTTGGTGCCATGCCTTCCACCCCCATTATTTGCAGATTCTAGAAGTATTAATAAATGCCAAATTGACCAACATTTTGATACTTTCAAGTATAAAAAATGGGAAGAAAGGGTGGCAACCCTATAAAGGCTGATAGCATGCTGTTTTGCTACAGACAGAAAGGATGGGAGAAAGGATGTAAGATGGATCCTGCCTCCCCATTACCAGAAGAAGAGCTTGTTCCTGCAGTAACTGCTGCTGCAGGATCTCTAACTGCCTCTGTTCTTCCTCTAACTGTCGCCTGATGTACTCCTGGAGATGGTGGGAAGCAGGAAGCAGAAAAAGGAGAGAAAAGGGAGAACCATAATTCCAAAGGCAAAAAAGCTGATTGTAAGAGTAGGAGGGAAAAAAAATCACATAACCATTAAAGATTGCTGCTTGATACAGGAGGGTGGAAGCAAAAGGAGAAAATAGAAATACAGGGCAATGCACAAAATTCTTCATTGGCCAAGTGTAAAAATCATACAAGCTGCAAAAACTGTTGCTGAGGAAGTAATAGAGTCTTGTTTCACTTAATGCTGAATGTACATTATGCATAAATATACAGTACTATGGCTGTGAAACATATTCCCCATTGTGTGCCTGTTTACTCTCTTGTAATCTCTCTGTCTCAAATGAATGTAAATGCAAACATTAATTCTTTTCTTGCTAATTATCCCAGCGGTTAGGGGAGCATTCCAAAGGAAGGAATGCAAAAAGGGGGAAAAAAAGAGTTCCCCCTTTTACTCAGCTTCCTAATGAATTTAATTCCAGAATTCATGTGGGTTCACTTGACCAGCATCATATCTTTCTGATACTTTAAAACAGAAGATCATGTCAATAATAGAAATGAATGAGCCATCATGGTGGCGCAGTGGTTAGAATGCAGAACTGCAGGAAACTTCTGCTGACTGCCGGCTGCCAGCAGTTTGGCAGATCGAGTCTCACGGCTCAAGGTTGACTCAGCCTTCCGTTCTTCTGAGGTCAGTAAAATGAGGACTCAGATTGTTGGGGGCAATTTGTTGACTCTATAAACCGCTTAGAGAGGGCTGTAAAGTGCTAAGGAGCGGTATATATAAGTCTAAGTGCTATTGCTATTAAATTGGGTCTCTCAGGCCAATGCCAACATCTCTATACAATATGAAGAAGTTGGGTCATACTGAACTTCCTTTTTGACTGGCAAGTCTGAGTTTGGGACTTAGAAAGCAGTATGCACTATAAAAAAAATTACAATCATTTGGATCTGAAGCTCGTCACCTGCTCGTGTTCAGCCCGTCTCCTTTCTTCTTCTCGCCGCAATTGTTCTTCATAATGCCGCCGTTGCTCCCTCTCTTGTTGTTTTCTTAGCTCCTTCTCTCTCCTCTGCTGCTATAAAAGAAGGCAGGAATAAATTATTCAAGTCAACTAGGAAAATCACATAATTCTTGTTGGTTTTGAAAACCAAAAAGTCTACAGGGCAGAAAGAAAGCAGAAAAATAATGTTGGCTAAAGGTAAACCGGCAACTAAACAGCATTGCTATCAAAAGTCCTCCATATGCATCAAGACCACAAATTTCCTGAATTCCAAGTTAACCACCTGAGAATTACTGCTTGGAAAAACATATATCTGATCCATATCAGCCTGCTATCTCAGTCAGAGAAGAGATGTATTTAGCTGTGGCAATTAATGGAGTGGATTTCAGCATAAGAAATACTTTTGAAAGAGTTTTTTGGGCATCCTCTGGCTACCAAATAAATGGATCGATGTTCTAAGAGAACTCAATGTCACACGCTAAAGAAGTTGAAGATATGTCACAATAAAGTTTAATTTCTCTTTGACTTGATGGAAACTTGCATTACTGGATCCCATGCCAAGAGCAAATTAATCTATTTCAGAAGTATACAACCCGAATATCAGCCTGTGCTGAAAGCCTGGGGTTTCAGCCTAAAACAATGGTCATGATGTACAGAATCAGTTCTTCTACAGGTGGTCCTTGACTTACGACCTAAGTGAAATAGTTGTTAAGTGAATGCTGCCCCATTTTATGACTTTCCTTGCCAAAGTGGTTAAGTAAATCACTGCAGTAGTTGTTGGTAACCCAGTTAAGTGAATCTGGCATCCCCATTGACTTTCCTTGTCAGAAGAGTGAAAAAGGGGAATCACATGTCCCAGAGACACTGCAACCGTCATAAATATGAATCAGTTACCTAGCATATAAATGTAAATCATGGGGATGCTGCAATGGTCATAAGTCTGAAAAATGGTCATACATCACTTTTTTCAGTGCTGTTTTAACTTTGAATGGCCACTATCTAATGAGGACTATCTGTATTATATCTAACAGCCACTATTTGAGGGTTCTCCATGTCCCCAAAGTTAAAGATAATGTGGTAGGACCAATAGAACCAACAGGATCAACATTGAACAAGATAATAAATCTTGTGTATCATCTTCTTTTAACGACCCCATAATTCCTTGTGGGGTGGAGCCCAGGCAACTGAATGGAGCTGAGTGTTTACTGGCCAGATGCCCTTCCAGTCACCAATGCCAAGCTTCATTCAGCAGATATATTCTCATTGTGCCCTGAGAGAGAAATATCTACCTCTACCTAGGATCGAACTCATAGACTCCTGATTGTGAGGCGAGAGCTCCACCTCTAGGCCACCGCACCACTATTGTAAGTCTGGTGTATGCAGCAAGGCATGTACTTTAAACCAAGCAAGCAACAATGAAGATCCTTTCTGCTCTATCTAATGGCTGTAATAGTCATGTTTGTTCTTATAATTATGTCAGTGGAAAATCTGTTCAAGGAGACAGAGACAGAGACTGAGACTGCATCACAAACCCTCAAAAGCATATTATATGGAAATCATTTGAATTCTGAAACACCCGAGAGGAAGAGAGCTGGGGGAACTATTCAAATCCAACAATCTTGACCCACATGTCCTTAGATTCAGTTGAAGGGCAGTCTTTTACATAATAAGTCCTGCCTTATAATGAGAAATATGCTATTCTTTATACCAATATATGGACAATAGTAAAGTTTAATTTCCCCTAACCCCAACAGCACATTCTTTATTTAGAAATTAAGAAGTGGTTTAAAAATAACAACAAAAAAGAATATTGAACCAGTGCAATCAAATTTGTGGAACTTGTTAGGAATATAAGTCACCTAACAATTATTTGGGTTGGAAATATATAAACTAGGATAGAGATTTTAATACTATGCCTTTAAGAGAATACTAAATCTGTAATTGGGTGTGGTTCCACAAATGGCCATAAGATGGAGCCAGAAACCTGGGTTGTTTAGTCTCAGAAGAGAGTCTCAGTGAGACTCTGTTTCTTCTGTTGGAGAGTTTTGCCATTCCTCCTAAATGACTGTTACTGATCGTTGATGTAAGTCTGTTACTGAACTGTTTTTGATACTGGACTTTGATATTTGGATTATCCCTGAACTGAACACTGACTGCTTTACCTGTGAATGACTTGAACTGCTTATCTTGGACTTTGCTTAAACATTTATTGGAAGTAAAAACCTACATTTACTGTACAGTGTATCTGTGTGCTGTGTGTGTGCTATTCTTCCTTACTCTCACTACATCTCCCTGTATGTGCTCATTCTCCTAATGGGGAATTACCTCAACAGAACTTAAGTTCAATAATAATATCCATGAGCACCCAGTATAATATTAATGTGATATCAGGGGTTTTCAATTCAATGTGTGGAGTGTGAGGGATGTGTGTTTGTGTTTATTTTCATAGTCATAAATTGGACACTGAAGATGGTATTTAATTTCATTGTACGAGGTACAATGACAATAAAGTAAAGTTTGTTCTCTAAAGATGCCTTCTCCAAACAGTTGAGTAGTTGTAGCTTCTCAAAGTTTTGGCCATCTTAGAGGTATTCTTATCAGCTCATGGAATCTCACTTGATTGTTGGAGATTATAGGCAGGAGTTCTATTGCAGCGAGTCAAAGCTATGGTTTTCCCAGTAGTGATGTATGGCTGTGAGACCTGGACCATAAGGAAGGCTATATATGCTAAAGAATTGATGCTTTCAAATTGTGATGCTGGAGAACACTCCTGAGAGCATTTGGACTGCAAGAAGATCAAACCGGTCAAACCTAAATCAACCCTGACTGTTCTTTGGAAAGACAGATACTGAAGCTCAAATACTCTGGAAACCAAACGATGAGGAGAGAGGACTCACTGGAAAAGACCCTGATGTTGGAAAAGATTGAAGGCAAAAGGAGAAGGGAATGGCAGAGGATGAGATGACTAGACAATGTCATCAATGCAATGAACATGGCTTTGGATGAACTCTGGTAGAAAACGGAGGACAAAGTGGTCTGGCAAGCTGTGGTCCATAAGGTCATACACAGTTTAGTCACTGACAACAACAACAACAAATAATAAAGGAGAATATTTGTAGCTCAGAGTTGAAATAAGGAGTCCTTGGTTCTCTCTGAGCTTGCTTGTTTTCTTGCAGATGTTTCATTACCCAAACTAGGTAACGTTACCAGTGCTAACTGATGATGTTACCTAGTTTGGGTCATGAAACATCTGCAAGAAAACAAGCAAGTTCGGAAAGCACCAAGGACTCCTCCATAGCAAAAACAAAAAACAAAACAACCTATTATAGTGTGGTAGGTAAAGAATGAAAGACAGGAGAAGAGCTTCATGATCTATGGCACTCATCAAGATTCTAATTGCATAGATTGTCTCGTACTTTTTACAACATTGCATTTATTATTCCCAAAATGTTAGTGGAAGGCTGACATTAACTACAAACTTCATGGCAGAGCTCTCTCAAGTTATTAGTGCCATCTGGAGAAGGAGCATCTTTAGAGCTCTATTGTTTCTTTAAGAGCTAACATGCGATCAATCTATAATTATACCATTTTCTTTCTATCTATCTATCTATCTATCTATCTATCTATCTATCTATCTATCTATCTATCTATCTATCTATC